ACCGGCTGCGGCGGCTGCGGGGCCCAGCCAAGTGCCGAGAGTGCGAGGCTTTCATGGTCAGCGGAACCGAGTGCGAGGAGGTGTGGCCTGGGCCGATGACCTAATGACCTCTGCTGAACCCCAGTGACCTCTCTGACCCCAGGCATCTCTCTGACCTGAGATCCCTAAGACCTTCCCACCCCTGGGACCTGCCCTGATCTGATGATCTCCTATGAGCCCCCTGCTCCCTGAGGATCCCTGTGACCTTCTCTTCCCCCACTGACCCCCGATGACCTCCCTGACCCTGTGACCTTTCCCTCAGTGCTTTCTGACCTGCCACAAGCGCTGCCTGGAGACTCTACTGATCCTTTGCGGACATAAGCGGCTCCCAGCCCGGACCCCCCTCTTTGGGGTCAACTTCCTGCAACTGCCAAGGGACTTCCCGGAGGAGGTGCCCCTTGTGATCACCAGGTGCACCACCGAGATAGAACAGCGCGCCCTGAGTGTGCAGGTGCCACCTTGACCCTTGACCACCCCCAAGAGTGAGTGACCCAGCCCTCTCAATGGCCAGATTGCAAGCCAGCTGTCCAACTTCCCACCCCTGCCCTTCAGGGCATTTATAGGGTCAGCGGGTCCCGGGTCCGCGTGGAACGGCTGTGCCAGGCTTTTGAGAACGGCCGAGCATTGGTTGACCTGTCAGGGAACTCGCCTCACGATGTCTCGAGTGTTCTCAAGCGATTCCTCCAGGAGGTGGGTGCTCAGCAGCTCAGGAGTCAGAGGCCGGGTGGGCTCAGACTGAGGACCCTCTGTAGCCCACCCACACCCATGTCCCCCCTGCCATTCCACCCCCAGCTCACTGACCCTGTGGTCCCCTTCCACCTCTACGACGCCTTCATCTCTCTGGCTAAGACCCTGCATGCAGACCCTGGGCACGACCCTGGGACCCCCAGCCCCAGCCCTGAGGTTATCCGCTCGCTGAAGAACCTCTTGGTGCAGCTGCCTGACTCTAACTACAACACCCTGCAGCACCTGGTGGCCCATCTATTCAGGTGTGCACTGTCCTTGACCTTGACACATGACTTCTGACCTGAGGCACGGATCCAGGACTCCTTCCTTGGACATGTGACCACTGACCCCTGACCTCTGACCTTTGAATGTGTTTTCTGAGCTCTGAAACTTAATACATGACTCCTGACTTTGTATGCTGACCCCTGACCCCCATTGCCAGGCATGTGGCTGCTGGTCGTACCCAATGACTGGGACCACTTACCCATGACTTGGGCAAGCTGCCACTAGCCTGGCTTGCAGATCCTACCCGATGACCAATAACCATACCCTCTGTGCCCTGACCCTTCTCCTCACACTGTCCCCAGGGTGGCTGCACAGTATGAGGAGAACAAGATGTCTGCCAACAACCTGGGCATTGTGTTTGGGCCGACACTGTTGCGGCTGCCGGACGGTCCAGGGGTAGCCAGCGCCGGCCCCGTCACCTGCCTGCTAGACTCCGTGCACCAGGCCCAGCTCATCGAGTTCCTCATTGTACACTATGAGCAGATCTTCGGGGTTGATGACCTCTTCCTGGCCACTGAGCCCCTGCCCCGAGACCCCAGCCCACCCCCTACGACCCTCCCAACCAGCCCCCAGCCACCATACTCACAACCTGCCCTGGATGCCCTGCCCATATCCCTAGCCTCGGACCCCAACCCAGACACCATGCCCCTTAGTGCCCTGGAGAAGCATCCCGAGACCACGCCCACAGAGGTAAGGAATCTGCTGGGCCCACAGACATGGGGAGAGCCTTCTCTCCATTTAATCCTCTCTCTCTCCTGTCTTCCTTCCTTCCTTTCCCTTGAAATTTGTCTATTTCATTCCCTTTCTCCTTTCCTTATTTACACTGCACTCATTCTGAAAGGAAAGGTAAGGAATGGAGTGGTGGGAAATAATGGAGTAACAACAGGGTAGAGCCTTGCAGAGATACTAACATGAGTACCATTCATTCCTTCAACAGAATATTTATTGAACACCTACTATGTGCCAAGCGTTGCTCTAGGCATTGTTCTAGGCATCAGTTAGCAAAATATTCAAAGACTCCATCCTCTTGGTTGCCTACCTTCTAGTGGGAAAGAAACCAACAATAAACAAGAAATATGATACAAAGTCAGTTATACAGGATGTTACAAGGTGATGAATACTATAGAAAAAAGAAAGGGTAGGGTAAAGTAGGGGACATCAAGGGCACCAAGGTGAGAGGTGGTGGGCAGTTTGTAGCAGTAAATAGGATGTTGTGAGTGGGTCTCATGGAGAAGATGGGTTTGAGCAAAGACTGGAAGGATGTGAGGGGGGAGTAAGCCAGGTGGAGATCAGGGGAAGGGTGTTCCAGGCAAAGGGAACAGCCAGTACAAAGGCCCTGAGGTGGGACCATGCCTGGTGTATTCAGGGCAGAGCCCCATGCTGTAATGAATGAGTGAGGGGAAGGTGGAAGGAAGTGAGGCCAAAGAGGACTGTGCAAGCCTCCATAGACTGCACGCCTACAATGCAGGAGTGCTTGCATAGTAATTGCCCTAAGAGGTAAATACTGTTAATGAAAACCATTTACAGATGAGACTCTTAGGGGAGGCTTTCTGACCCTCAGATCCTGATACACTTACCATTCCCGAGAGCTAGGATCTCCCCTGCAGCACCCCAGAGCTGGGAAAGCTGCTGCTGGTGAGGTGTGGGACTCTGAGAACTGGAATACCTCAGAAAGTGCTCCGGACACAGAGAAAGAATTCCAACTGCTATTAGCATTTAGCGAAAGGATGAACTAAAAGATATTCAGATAAGCTAAAAAGCAGGCCTGAAATTGCAGAAAGTAGAGCAGGATGAAGACCGGTAGTTCACCCATTCCTGATGCAGAGAAGGCTGTCACTTTCCGGGCTGGTCCTCTGTTGAACAAAGGCATTCCTGCCCTCACAGAGCCCACAGTTGAGATTAATGACACTGCTCTTCACAGGAGGACAAGCAGTACACTCTCAAGGGCATCATCTCTCCCCAGATACCAGAACTGCAAGGGAACTTTTGCATGTCTGCGAGTCTCAAAGAACTGGCATTTTATTGCTGGAGGTCTCATTCTTGGGTTTCTTCTTGCAGATTCCAACTCTGCAGAGGGACCAGGAAGAGGAAGTAACCAAAGACACCAAAAATGAGGGAGAGGAAGGTGAGTGTGTTGTGGGGTAGCCCAGGGGTTCTGGGGTTGCCCCTGCTTTGGGGTAGCTTGGCTGAATGATGACAATGGGGGAGGGGTGTATCCAGAGGACTTAGGGGTGCTCAGCATTGACCACTCTATCCCACAGTGTCCAGCCAAGGCCCTGAGGACTCACCCCTGGGGACACAGTCCCGTGGCCACTTCAGCCGCCAGCCAGTGAAGTATCCCCGGGGGGGTGTACGGCCTGTCACCCACCAGCTGTCCTGCTTGGCCGTGGTGGCTTCCAAATTGTGCGAGGAGACCCCTGTCACATCAGTGCCCCAAGGGAGCTTGCGGAGGCCAAGACCCGGCCCTGCCGCCACCTCCCGTGAGGGCAGCCCTCTGCGCCGCACCCCACTGCCCAAGCATTTTGAGATCACGCAGGAGACGGCCCGGCTACTCTCCAAGCTGCACAACGAGTCTGTGCCCAAGGCCACCTGCTGCCCAGGCACCCAGCCTGAGGAAGCTGAGGACCATTTCTGACTATCCCAGCACTCTGACCAAGAAGCCCAGGACTGAGAAGATGGACCCAACATCCCAGGAGTTCAATGTTGGGGTGTCTGGAGAGTTCCTATGGGGAAAGACTACATGGCCTAGGGGAGAACTAAAACCCTTCAGCAGCAATGTACCAGGATCCCCCCCCCCCACTAGACACAGGTCAATGTCAAGTGACAGGGCCACTCAGGTTCAGAGGTCACTCAGGGTCAATACAGATCATGGGGTCCTTGAGGTCCACCCTAGTCTCTGACCCCTAGGATAGGGGTGCTTTTTGCTACTTTGGTTGTTGCCACTCCCCCATCTCTGTCTGCCTCCTTAGCTGATCCCAAGTGACCACATATTGGAGGATGTGGGCAACCCAGACTCAACATCCTGCCTGGGGTCTGGTGGCCTCTGAATAAACTGTGTCCTTTATAACCTTGAGTGTCTTTCTTTGCCAGGGAAGGGTGACAGGGGAGGTCGGTGAGGCAGCATCTTTTTGCCCCATTTTACCGACCAGGGAAATCAAAGCCCCCTTTCTTTCATCTCAGAACACCCCGAGCACCTACATGCAGTAGAGGCTGGGCCTGGGCACCTGGCTGAGTCACACCGGGCCGGCCCTCCCGGAGCTCAGCGTGCGATCCGGTCCTGCACAATCAAACAAACATAACTAAGTGCAGATAACCGAGACAATGGGGCTGTGTGCTCTCGGTCGTGGGAGTCCAGGGCCGCCACAGGCGTGGGCCGGGCAGGGAACAGCGCTGCCGGGGGCTGGATTTCGAGAAACCTGAGTGCGGCCAGAGTCAGCTGAGGCCAGAGGTCTGCGGGTCAAGGAAGGCTGCGTCGCGCGGTAGCTCTAAGCCGGCGAAGCCAAGGAGGGGCTGGGGTCGTGGCGGTGGGAGCCGGGTCGGATCAGGGCGTGGCTTAGAACTCGGCGACGGATTGGACACGAGGGAGCGGGCGGGGTGGGGCCGGGGCAGGGGCGCAGACCCTGAGACCACCCGGAGGTGGGCCCGGGCGGCGCCAGGTCACGGCGGGAAATCTCGGGCAGTGAGTGACTCAGCCCCGCGAAGGCCCAAAACTGCGGGCGCGTGAGGTGTGCGGGGACTTGGGGTGGGGGTCCCGCGCCGGAAGTGGAGAGGGGCGACCGAGGAGACGCGAGGCGGAGAGGAAAGAGGGGAGCTGCGGTTCCGGGCGACCCTGTCCCCGCCGCGGCAGCGGAAGAGAGGCTCCTCCAGGTGGTGGGGACCGGGCGGGGCGGGGCGCTGCGGCGGGGGCGGGGCGGCGGGACCCCGCCTCCAGTCCTCTCTTGGCCGCTCCCGCCAGGCGCACCCAGACGCTCTTCTGCTCCAGCCCTCGTCGCCCGGTCATGGGTCTCGGGCGCGAGGCCACCCTGTCTGCGGCGTGACGGGCGGCTCAGGTGAGACCCGCGAGGACGGGGGAGGGTGGGCGCGGGGCCTGGGGAGGGCGCGGCACGTGCTGCGGGGCCCGGGCGCCGCCCCCTCCTCTCCTACCTCCTCCTCTTCCTCCCCTAGCCTGGGGGCCCCCAGAGGCCCGGCCTGCTGCCGCCTTCCTGACCGCCCCTTTTGTCCCACTCGGAACGGCCCGATCCCCCGCCTGCTTCGGGAGCGCTCGCGCCCAGAGCCCGCCGCCCAACTTGTGGGGCTGCCTCACTGCCCCCAATCTGATTGCCCGAGTCACTTCCATGTCCCAGCACCCACCTCCTGCAAGGTCCTAGCAGTGGCCCCACCCTGCGCACACACGCCTCCTGGGCTCCGCTCCCTGCACTGACCGCAACACCAAACTGACCCTCCCTTGCCTGCTTTCACAGCCCACACCCCTTTGTCTTGCCCTAACCGACCCCCCCCCCCGCCACACACACACACACACACACACACAGATTGGTCACAGGTTGGCGCCGCGTGGGCAAATGAGTTTTGTTTTGATTCTTTAGGTTAAAAACAAAACCACCCAGTCGTTTGATTTGGGAGATACCCTTCTAAGAGTCTTATTAGTAATTAAGCAACAACTGCCCCACCCCACCCCCGAACTCACAGACTTGCTTTTCCAGGCCACCCTGGCCCCTACCACTACCACTTTGCCCTCATGCATCTGAGTTTGAGACCCTTGCCCTTCCTGTCCTAATCCTCCCTCTGGCTGCTGCTCCCTTCTCTGTCCCTCCAACAAGGACCTTCTGTACTGACCTTTCCCTCTGTGCCCCCAGACGGTCACCATGGGCCAGTGCTACTACAATGAGACCATCGGCTTCTTCTACAACAACAGCGGCAAGGAGCTCAGCTCCCACTGGCGGCCCAAAGATGTGGTTGTGGTGGCACTGGGGCTGACTGTCAGCGTGCTGGTGCTGCTGACCAACCTGCTGGTCATCGCGGCCATCGCCTCCAACCGTCGCTTCCACCAGCCCATTTACTACCTGCTTGGCAACCTGGCCGCAGCTGACCTCTTTGCCGGTGTAGCCTACCTCTTCCTCATGTTCCATACAGGCCCGCGCACAGCCCGGCTCTCACTTCAGGGCTGGTTCTTGCGGCAGGGCCTGTTGGACACGAGCCTGACGGCGTCCGTGGCCACACTCCTGGCCATCGCTGTGGAGCGGCACCGCAGTGTGATGGCTGTGCAGCTGCACAGCCGCCTGCCCCGAGGCCGGGTCATCATGCTCATCGTGGGCGTGTGGGTGGCCGCGCTGGGCCTGGGGCTGCTGCCCGCCCACTCCTGGCACTGCCTCTGCGCCCTGGACCGCTGCTCGCGCATGGCCCCCCTGCTCAGCCGCTCCTACCTGGCCGTCTGGGCCCTGTCCAGCCTGCTCGTCTTCCTGCTCATGGTGGCTGTCTATACTCGCATCTTCTTCTATGTGAGGCGGCGGGTGCAGCGCATGGCAGAGCATGTCAGCTGCCACCCCCACTACCGTGAAACCACGCTCAGCCTGGTCAAGACTGTTGTCATCATCCTGGGTGAGTGGCACCCTACTTCCCAACTCCTGCGAGACTGATAGAGCATGATGGGAGGGGATGATCTGGGTGGGGAATGTACTCCAAGGAGGTGCTACCTGAGCAGAGGCAAGGCAAGAGTTCCAGGCAGAGGGAACAGAAGGTGACAGCCCCAAACAGGGCCAGCCCAGTGTCTCCAAAGAGGGGAGAAGGCCCACGTGACTGGTCCGCAGGAAGAGAAGGTCAGCACAGCCTCAAAAGGCACAGACAGGAGTCATATTTTGTTCTGAGTTCCATGGGAAGCCCTTAAGAGTTCTTAGCCAGGAGTAATGAGGTCTGGCGGTTGAATGTAGAATGGTCTGAGCAGGGGAGGTGCACACACCACCCCCAAGAAACAAAGAGCAACTCTTCCTAATCATTCCTTTTCCGCCACCGAGTAATCGGTCGGTCCCACAGTGACCTTTCCCCCAAAGAACAAATCTCTATGTAGAAATGTCCAGGGTCCTGTCCACCGTATACCAGTTAGGAAGGGCTTTCCTCTGGCAGACAATCAGAGAAAGGTTTCCCCTCTTAGCAGTTCTGCCCCATCATGCTGCAAAGGCAGCAAGACAGGCAGCTCTTCCCTACAAACTGCACAGCTGTCGCCCAAGCTCTGGAGACTCCTCCAGTTCTGAGCCATTGCAACAGCTGGCCCTGCTCACATCAGGCTCCATCCCGCAGGGGCGTTTGTGGTCTGCTGGACACCGGGCCAGGTGGTGCTGCTTCTGGATGGTCTGGGCTGCAAGTCCTGCAACGTCCTGGCTGTGGAGAAATATTTCCTACTCCTAGCCGAGGCCAACTCGCTGGTCAACGCTGTGGTGTACTCATGCCGAGATGCTGAGATGCGCCGCACCTTCCGCCACCTCCTCTGCTGTCTGTGCCTTCGCCGGTCCACCCACAAGTCTGTTCGCTACACATCCTCCACCCAGACAGGCCCTAGCACTCGCATCATGCTTCCTGAGAATGGCCATTCCCTGATGGACTCCACCCTTTAGCTAACCTTGGACTTCAGCAGGGTACAGCAAATGCCAGAGCTCTGCCCCTGGCCACTTGTGGGTGCGCCCGGCTCTACCCAATCTGCGGGCCAGACTTAAAGGCAGACCCTCAGTCTGGCTTGGCATGAAACCACTGCCAGCCCTACCCAGGCAGACAACTGTGCCCATCTCAGGGCCTGTAGGTTGGGGTCATCTAAGCACCTGGGAGAGAGTTGAACGGGGTGCAGGAATCTGGCCCTTCAGTCATCTCAGGTTGCAGGGCTTTTTAACGGACACTTTTCTGTTTTTACTGCACATGCCTGGCAAGCCCTGTGGACTGCTTCCTCGTCCACGGTGGCGTGGGTAATAAAGGTGGGAGAGATGAGGGCCCCCTCAGGCCACGCTGCCCAGTGCAACAGGGTAACAAGGATGGACCATGGGCGCCCCATCTGCCTGAGGCTGATTGTTTAGGCCACAGACTGAGGAGTGCTGAGCGTGAGCTGGGAAAGGTTTATGGCCTCTGGCAGCCTCCAGTGGTCTTGCCTATCCCCACAAGAGTTAAGGGGGTCTACAAGGAGGGGGTCTATAAAGAGTAAACCTTTCCGCTCCGAGGTCTCCAAAGCCTTTTCTGTTGTCAGCTTATCTGTCTGTCCCTATGTCCCAGAATTGTCCACCTCAGCTCAGGCTGAGCTGGGATCCTTCAACGTGGCATCTCCTGGGCCCTGTTCCCATTCCCCTTTGGTCTCTGCATGGCTGTTGCTCCGTCTCTCTTCTTGTTCCCTTTTGCCTCTGTCTCCTCCACCTCTTTCCCTGCCTTCATCTTGCCACCTGCCTTTCTGTCTCCGTTCTCTGGAGCCCAGAGTAGTCTGTGGCCTGTGTGAGGCTTCTCTCACCTGCCTGCCCCCTTGTCTGAGTCCAGATTGTTAATAGTCAGGTGTGTCCATCCCACTGTCCACTCCATCACCTACATGCACACCTGTGGGCTTGGGGTAGTGGGGTCCATGGACCAGAATGCAGGATTTTAGAGTTGCCATTTCTCAAGCTTCTCTGATGTGCCTGGCACACTGATAAGTGTTTTAGGTGCATTATTTAATCACCACCTGCATCTTGTGGCATAGGTATTATATATATTTTCATGTGAGGACAGTGGCTCAGAGAGATCGAAATTTGGCCCGTGGTTACATAGTTTCAAAAGGGCACAGAGATACATCGAGGGACTAGAGAGGCCCCTGAGGAAAGGACTTCGGATTTCCACAAAGTCTGGAGTTGGTCACAAGCTCAGCCTGGCTTTCCCCACTTCACCCTGTGGTCTCAGATGTGCCAGACCCATGATGAGTCCCCTCTCAGATACATAGAGGCGCTGTGCTAGACACAGCGTAAACCAGGATCTGGATTCTCTCTGCTTACACACCTAGCCAGATTTTGAACCCAGGCCTCCCATCAGAGGCTGAATTCTTAAACTACTAAAGCATGCATTGCCAAAGAACCAAAAATGTGTAGATCCTTCTACATTAACTGGGGCTGAGTTTCCCTTTGGGAAAATTCTCCCTGCCCTACAACAGGTCTGTGAGGAGGCAAGAACAAACTGGGGTGCCAGGTACTTCTCCAGGGTCCAAGGTAGGCAGTGTGGCTCCTTGAGCCTGGGGCCTGAATCTCAGAAGTGATGACCTAGGCCAGCACCCAGCCACGTGGATGGGGACATAGTCCTTGTCTCCAGGGAGCTCTAGGCCTTTTGGACAAAAGTATCACTTTGGGTGCCAAGGCAGCCAGCCGTTCCTATGGGGTGGGAACCCCTGATGGTCTCCAAAGGTGGCTCTGTTTCACCTGCTCTGAGCTGGCTGCTCTTGCATCAGCATCTTCCAGGTTCTAACCCACACTCTTCTGGTCTCCTTCGGGATCTTGTCCCATCGGTTTTTCCCTCTCTGTAGGTCTCTCCTCTCCACCAGGTGACTTAAGGTTTTTGTCTCAGATGGTCCCTGAAGCTCTCAACCCATCCCCCCACCACTGTTCTCTGAAGGATGCCAAAGTTACCCACTACTTTTCAGATTTCCTGTGTGGTGCTGCACTAGTGGCTGACCTTTTGTACAGGGTACCAGCTCTCCATAGTCCCCACATGTTCTAGTACTTCCTGTTACTGGGGCCAAGTGTCAGGTTTCCTTCATCAAGGAGCTTTCCAGGTTGTTCTTACACTAGTCTACATCATTCATTTCTATTCCCTTTGGAGTGCCCGAATCTAATCAGACCAGTTGGTGTTTGCATTTCCTCTCCAGCAGCAATGCGAAGAAGATGGGCCCTGTCCTGAAGGGTTCCCAGGAGGTTGAGGTCCCTTTATGAGCCTCGTCTGGGGTCTGTCCCCATTGCAAACAGGCTCTAGGAGGTCCCATGACTTTGGAGAAGTGATTTATGTCCGAGAATAAATTCTTTTCTCTCGCACAAGAATCCTCTGATGCCAGGAGTCCTAACAGCTAGAAACAAAGGCCTGTGAAGATTCGCTCTGATTTGGGGGTGCATCACAGGGTAGGTCCTCAGAAAGCATCCTTCACGTGCTAGCGGAATGCTGTAGAGCAAAAGAATGAATAAAGCAAGGTCACTCTTAATAAGCTGGACCTTGAAAGGTGAATAGAAGTGATTTCTGCAACTGAGAAAATCACTCAGTTTTGACCTTCCAACCACCATCACCACACGTACCTGTACCCCCTATGGAATATTAGAGGTGGGGGGAGGGGGAACTGGGAGGCCGGGAGCCCAAGTGACCCACCTGCTGGCACTGAGGCTGAGGGGAGCAGGGGTCTGGGGCTCCGGGCTTCTGGAGATGAATGGGGGTAGGGGTGTTGATGGGGTTCTGAGAGGCTAGGGAGGGTCTGAGAAGCAAGGGGTGGCTTGGAGGAAGAGTGCAGTGCTCTGAGAAGTTAAGACTCTGAGATGTGTAGGTCCCTGAGGAGTGGGATGCTCTGAGACATGGGAGCCTATGAGGAAGACTGGGGTCTGGGGGGGGATTGGCTCTAAGAAGTGAGGTCCCTGAGGAGTGGGGACTCTTGAGGAGATGTGCGGGCTCTGAGAAGGGAGCGCTCTAAGGACGTGTGCGGTGTAAAGTGTCTCAGAGTAGGAATGGTTGAGGGAGGTGGAGATGTGGGAGATGGGGTTTCTGAAGCAGAGCAAAGCCGGCCTTGCCCTCTCCGGCTGGAGGAGGGTAGGGGTAGAAAGCGCCGTTGCCTCAGCAACCCCCAACAGAGTCCTAGGCAGATAGGAGGGGCTTTTAGGGGCCTGCCTGTGGGCGAGGCACGGCGGCCCGCGCGGCGGCGGTTGGCTGACGGAGATAGTAGGGCGTGTCCCTGGGCGGGGCGCGGTCGCCTAGCTGGCGGCGGTTGGCCGTAGGCGGAGGGGGGCGGGGCCCGAGGGCGCGCGTGATGCGCGCATAGACGGCGGTGGTTGGCTACGACGTCCGCGCGAGCTCTCCAGGCTCGGCTGCTCCTTGGTTGAGCGCCCGCCAGGCCTCGCCGCGCATGGACACCCCGTGCTGCCGCCCCGCTGACCCGCGCCGCTCACCACCCCGGCCCCCACCGGGCTCCGACACGGACGACGTCCTGCAGATCATGGCCATCACCGACCAGAGCCTGCACGAGGCGCAAGCCAGGTGCTGGCGCGGACTCGGCGGGGGCCACCCAAAGTCGCTTCAGTGAAGGGGGCGGGCCGAGGGGCCAGGGCCGGGGCGGCTGGGGGCGTGAGGGGTGAGGAGGGTGCAGGGTGAGAGATGGGGTGGTGAGTCTGGGCGGAGAGGGAGAGGGCAGATCGGGGGCGGGGGGGTTGAGGAGGACTGAAGGGAGGTTCTGAGGCCGAAGGGAATGGAACGGATTGAAAGGGGGCTTATGGCGCTAAGCTGTGGGTGCTGGGTTTTAGGAGCTCATCTTGGGGTGAGAGGGATGGGTTTAAGGGGAGTTTGTGGATGGAGAGGTTTATGGTGAAAGGTGGTTTCAGGGTTTATGGATGTAAGGGGGAAGAGGAGTGTTGGGGGGGTGTAAGGGCTGAGAGATGGGTGCACACGGGATTTGTGAAGGATGGACAACTAAATGGATCAGTGGTATGTATGAGGATGGGAAGTTCTGGGGGCAGGTAATGGAGAATGAGTTGTGGGAAATGGGACTCGGGAATGAAGAGATGGTGTGATTTGATTCGGGAAGCATCCAGAAAAAAGGTTAGTGGGGGAGCTGGAGGGGGACAGAGGACTCCCTTTTTTATTAATTTGGCGAATGTTTATTAGACAGTATGTGCGGGGCACGGAGCTGGGTGCTGATGTCACTGATCTCAAGCTCATGGTTTGAGGGAGAGAAAGTAAGTAGCAAAACTAAGTATAAGTTGCACTAAAAGCTGTAAGTAAAGAGATGGCAAGCTGTGGGAAGCCAGGAGAGGGCACAGCACCCTTAGAGGCCCAAAGGTGGGAAAGGGCAGGAAGAATGCAGAGCCAGGGACTGAAAGTCCCCAGTACAGCAGAGAGAGTCTGGAACCAGGATCACATGGGGCCAAGTTTCAGGAAAGGGTTTGGCTTTTATTTCAGTTGCAGTGGGAAAATCACAGTGGTTTTAAGACCACCTGTCCCACTTAACCTCCACCCACCACTTGTCAGTGAGCCAGGATTGGTAAAATGTGCTTCACAAGTCAGCCCATTGTGTTTGGGGCCTGCCTGAATTGTTAGAAGGTAGCAAAGCACAGAATGACATCCTTTTGGAGGATGAGGTCTTGCTGAATGGGACTTGTTTGGGGGTAAGGGACGGTCCCTGTGGATGGGACCAGGGTGTAGTGGTGTGGACTGTGCAGTGCCTAGAACCTTCTAGTGAGGAGGGGTTACAAAGCCAGGTGAACAGCAGCCCCAGGAAAGGAGGAGGCAAGTAAACGGTGGATATGGCAGGCATTTATTCCTCAAACTTTCTTGCCTTTGCTTCTTGTGGAATGTCGACTCTTTCCACAGTTTCATGGCCTCTATCTGGAAAGTTAAGAGTGTCACACACGCATAACCCCACCGCACACCACTGGAGCATTGTGCTAGGTGTTACAGAAACCAAGATGGCTAAGATGTTCTCTGCCCTTTTAGAGCTCATTCAGAAGGAAGGTGTGTGGGAGACTTAACTCCTAAACAGTCATCATAATAGGAGTGTGCTGAGTAGAGGTAACTCCTGGCACAAAAGAGCTGGGCCGGGAGAGGGTGACCTTCTGTGATGCCTTCTCCGCTAAGCCAGTGTGAGAGCAAGGGCATTGTTGTACTTCTCCTTTGTATTCCCAGGGCTGTGCACAATGCCTGGCACCTAGCGTTCAGTAAAGCTTTGTGGCACTTAGATTCGGGAAGGATTGGTAGGAGCTAGGGAAGGGGGAAAACAGGCTCTTCACACCCAGGAACCACAGAAGCAGTGCTTTGGGTGCATGTGGAGCTACCTGTGTTCCTTTTGTTCTAGGCCAGGAGCTGCTTAAGGAGCGAACTCTGCTCAGATGTGGCCTTCCTCAGGCGTGTGTCACCCTGCACTGCCCCAAGGCTGCTACTTTTTTCTTGTAACAATCTCTTGAGATTCTAGACTCCCCTAGGTAGGCTTAGAACGGAATGCAGTCAGTCACCTCTTCTTGCTGTTCTCAAAGAGAGTCGTTTTTCTTTTAAGGCTAAGAAACTGAACAGGGGGTCATTACACTTGCCTTACAACGTAGCTGTTAGGTAGCTGATTCCTGGTTTCTTCCTGAGGTAGAAAGATCCCTGGAGCTTTTATTTTGAGACTTTGGAAGCTTCACATCTGCCCCACTCCTTGCATAGCCTTTAGATAAATTCAAGGCCCTAAAAGTCACCCAAGTCCAGACACCAGTCTTCAGTCCTCAAGTGGGCGGGCCACTTACTCCACTCTGGAGAAAACACAGCTTGGGTGGGTCTTTTCCTCATAGTAAACCTTGCTGCCTGGTAGATTATCAGCTTGGGCAGGGAAGCAGATTGTGTCTTTCCTGATCAGCCAACTGGGTGAGGCCTTTGGCTTCCCTGGCCTTTGGCTTCACCTCAAGTGGTGAGGTCTTTCTGACCCTGCCCTCTCTCTGAAACAAGAGAGAACGGTTTCATCTCTGTGCGCTGCCAACCTCTTAAGAGCCCCTGGAGTCAATTTAGCTCAGCTGGCTAGCAAGAAAAGAATTTTTCATCTCAGATTTGAGGCCTTCTCAACCTGCTTTGTCACCACGTGCTTAAAGAAGGGAAGCACACCTACTCTCCTTAAACCTGGATTCCTTCTTACACCTTTCTACATTATTAGGAAGGTAGCTCCACATACTTGGGTGTAATTCATTTTGTTATTATAGCTGAATAGTCTTCAAATAGTGAACTGTGTATTGTTCTTCCTTCTGGCTACACAGATAGTAGAGGGACACTGGGGAGTTTGGAATGCACTGTCTTGGTTGAAATTCAGCCCACGTCAGCTGGAAATTTCCTGTGTGATAGGTAACTAGTCTTCTTGAATGATCTTCTGAACTTCTTTGGTGACACCCTGAGCTTTTCCTAGAGAGGGACAGTTTTTGTGTTTTCTGAGTTGGATCTTTCACTGATCACGTTCTCATTCATTTCTTATATGGGACCGGGAAGGCAGGAAATTTTCTCGTTTGCCAAGGATTTTCTGAGTATGTCACTATCATGTGTAGCCTTAGTTTTTATAATAATAAATTTTACAACATGTTGAAGTTTACGTAGATTTGTTTCCTTTACTTCTTTTGAATACCTTTATGAAGGGTTTATAAGGTTATCAGACTAGGGTTGAGGGCTCCTCTGTCAGGACTCAGATTCCAAAGTTCTTCCCCCTCCCAGAGTTGTTAACCAGTGTTTGAATCATCGACCCCTTTGAAGATCTGGTGCAATCTCTGGGTCCCCTCCTAACCATGCCCCCTGACAGTGTGCTTGTGTACCACACCTTTGAGAATCCTCAGGCCTCAGGTGTCCTGGGGCCTGGAAGCTGCTCTTCGTCTGTGGTGGACTCACTTTTTTGTCTAGTAGTGAGATTCCTAACAAGTCAGTGTGAAAACTCTAGAGCTGGGAAGGCTGAGGGGTGAGTTTTGGAAACCTGATTTTAAAAGGAAGCAGAATGGTCAACAGTGTCGTCCTGGAGACCTGGGCTCCAGACCTGATGATCTGGAAGAGGCAGCTGAAGAGGACTGGCCCTTCAAGTCATTCTGCCTGTTGGAACGACAGGTGGGTTGTGCTGCCAAATTGGCAGATTTAGCTGTTGTGGTCAGTTCTTGACCTTTTGCTTGCAAGGGCATGAAGATGCTCTAGAGAGCTACACTGTCCAAGGAGGTAGCCACTTGCCATATGTCTCTGTAAATTAAAATGAATCAAAATAAACATTCAGGGGACTTCCCTGGTGGTGCAGTGGTTAAGAATCTGCCTGCCAATGCAGAGGACACGGGTTTGATCCCTGGTCCAGGAAGATCCCACATGCTGCAGAGCAACTAAGACTATAGCCACAACTACTGAGCCTGCGCTCTAGAGCCTGCGAGCCACAATTACTGAAGCCCACATGCCCTAGATCCTGCACACCGCAATAACTGAGCCCATGCACCGCTACTGAAGCCCGTGCTCTCTAGGGCCACTTGCCTCAACTACTGAGCCCACGTGCTGCAACTACTGAAGCCCGCACGCCTAGAGACCGTGCTCCGCAGCTAAAGAAGTCACAGCGGGCTTCCCTGGTGGCGCAGTGGTTGGGAGTCCGCCTGCCGATGCGGGGGATGCGGGTTCGTGCCCCGGTCCGGGAGGATCCCGCATGCCGCGGAGTGGCTGGGCCCGTCAGCCATGGCCGCTGAGCGTGCGTGTCCGGAGCTTATGCTCCACAATGGGATAGGCCACAACAGTGAGAGGCCCGCGTACTGCAAAAAAAAAAAAAAAGAAAGAAGTCACAGCAGTGAGAAGCCCGCTCACCAAAACGAAGAGCAGCCCCTGTTCACCACAACTAGAGAAAGCCTGCGTGCAGCAACAAAGACCCAACGCAACCACAAATAAATTAATTAATTAAATTAAACATTCAGGGACTTCCCTGGTGGTCCAGTGGGTAAGACTCTGCACTCCCAATGCAGGGGGCCCGGGTTCAATCCCTGGTCGGGGAACTAGATCCTGCATGCATGGTGCAACTAAGAAGTCCACTTTCCACAACTAAAGATCCTGCATGCCACAACGAAGATCCTGCATGCCGCAGCTAAGACGGGTCAAACTAAGACACAGCCTAAATAAATAAATAAATAAATGTTTTTTAAAAATAAAATTAAATCAAACATTTCATTCCTCAGTCACACTAGCTACCTCTCAAGTGCTCAGTAGCCATGTGACTACCATCTTAATGCAGGTAGAGAACATTTCCATCATTGCAGAAAATTCTGGACAGCAGTGTTCTAGAGCAATGCTTCTCTTAGCTGGACCTGCAGCAGATCTCTGCAGAAATCTTATTGCACAGGTTCTGATGTAGCAGGTCTCAGTGGGGCCCAAGAGTCCACATTTCTAACCACCTCCCAAGGGTGCCAATGTCGCTGATCTCAGACCACACTTGGAGAGGTCAGACTCTCAAGAGTGGAGATGATAGCGTGTCATTTATTTCAATTTTCATGAATCATTTTACCTAGTAGATGGTTAATCTG